TAAATGCAAGATGCCCAAGTAATTTTTGAATTTACGAGATACTAATGAAAATGCAAAATATTATATGCAAATAAAGAGACAGGATAAAATAGGACATTATATTGTCCATGAAACTCACATGTGTAAAATGGATAGGAAAGTAACAACTCAAAATGTCAAAAATGTCACCGGCAAAACCAGCAAGCAGACCACACGGATCAGAGAACAATTTTGCCAGAAGCTCGACAATGTGAAACGTCAACACTAAGCACTGAGGATCCTTTTCTCCATCAATGGCTTCACAGATTCCATAAATAAGATCATCACCCTAGAGCATAACATCAGTCATATTAGGATCATGGTACACAAAGGATCTTGTAGATTTTAGAAAGAAATAGAACTTCTAGATGCAATTCACTGGAACAAAATAAACGGATTCTTATAGTTCAAATTCTGTTGGTCAATATATTTCTCGAAAAAAATTTAAAATTTTTCAAAAAATTCTGTTGGTCAATATATTTCTGTCCCATGTGTATTTAGTTGATGAATTGCTATTGAAAACTGTGAACAAGCCACATAGGACAATATGAAAAATCTTATGCACATTGTAGGATAGTATGGATTTCAATCCAGCTTGATCACAATATAAAGTCTAATTATAATTTGTCAAAAAAAATTTCATAAAATCAGATCAGATTATTGCAATAAAGTCTGTGAATAAATAGTTATTTTCTATAGCTCCAAATAGACTAGCTTAAAGTGGACATGATCTGGAAAGCACTAATTCCAGAATTAGTTGAATTCTACTATGTTATCAAACATTACATAAGTACAATAAACGAAAAGAGGAAGTGCAAATAAGAAAGACAACATTGGATCTCTTTGATACCTTTTGGCTTAAAAGAAGCCAAATAAGAAAAATGAAGAAAAGAATTATACCAGTGCAGCAATAGCATCAGGATAGCATTCCAAAAGGCACTCCAGAAGTTCGAAGCAAAGCTGCAAGAACATAGATTCAACAAGTAGCTTAAACTTCAGCAACAAATGTTTATGTATGTAGATAACATTTAATTCAGAGGTGCAAAGATTTTTTATCTACAGGAACTTCATGCTTCATGTCCTACCTTCCGGTCATGCTGTCCTAGAGACTGCACTTGCAGGTTCTGTAAATAAGACTTTGCAACTTCTTTTGCATCAGTGATGGTGATCATACCAGCATCATTTTTACGCCTCATCAATGCTAAACAACCAACAAGGGCCCCACGTAAAGCTCTCCAATCTGCCTGATATAAGTAGAATATCATTTTATCTATTTTGAGTGTAGTATACTTTTTAAGAAACCACAGTGATACAATCAGAGGAATGGTTTAAGGTTAAGTTGATGTAACCACAGTCATTGTCTTATCTTTGAAATGCTGCTACTATGCTCCTAGACTACCAGCTGGAAGAACTGGTGCTGCAGCAGCATTAATCAAAGCTATAGCCAGAATCAGCATTCAACCAGCAACATCAAGGAACAAGAGAACTTACAATTAGGAGCATCCAAAATGAGGTAGATTCACTAACCCTCAATACTTACAGAAATAATGGGTTATCATCCAATTAATCCTATCAAATGGATTGTGAATACGAATAGCTTCCTTAATAATGATAAATTTTGGGAAATGATTAAAAAAAACCTCATCTAAACTTTAGAAAAATAACAGTTTGGTTTCTTTTTTACATAAAAACATAAAGGTTCTTGTTCTAACATAATGTACGTTATTTTGTGTTAAGAACAGTTTAATTTTTTTTCTCATTGATTTTTATTACCCTATATATACAAGTTTTCTAAAACAAAAAAAGAAATAAACAATAAATTATAACTAATTATAAAAAGTATAATTTACCCTTATTTTCTTTCTTCCACCGCCCCCCGCCCAAGTTAAAAAAAATGTTATCTATCCCCAATTGCAAATAAGAAGTTGGAATGGTAGATTGTTTAACCTTTTAGTCAATACACCTATTAATTGAGAATTGATTGTATAAGGTACATATTAGACCGTTGTCAAGTTTTTCTTTGATAAAAAATATATCGATCTCGAAGTGTTTAGACCGATCGTGTAGCAACAGATTGTGAGCGATATCTATGGCCGATTTGTTGTCGCAGTATCGGTGAATAAGATTTTCCCACTTGATTTTTAAAATCTTCCAAAATTCTTTTTATCAATAATAGTTCACATACTTCTTGTGTCATTGTGCATAATTCTAATTATACAATTGATCTCACAACTACATTTTGTTATTACTTCTCCAAATGGCTAAATTGGCCTTAAGGAATGTAGAGCGTTCTATGGTAAACCTTTTGTTTACAACTGACCTTACATAATTTGCATCAGTATAGAGTTCTAAGAAAGTTTACCACTCTTCCTGAACATAACTCCTTTTTCAGAAGATCCTTTTAGGTAATGTAGTATTCTCTAAACTGCTTGTAGGTGCACTTTTTCTCGAACTATGCATGAGTTGACTTATAATACTCACTGCATAGGTGATATTTGATCTCATGTGAAATAGGTATATCAATCTCTCATACATTTTCTTGTTCACTAGCATATCTTCTCTTACTCTTCCTAATTTGTGATTAGGATCAATGAGTGTCACCTGGTTTAAATGTTAATTTGTCAGTGTTTCTCAACAGGTCATTAATGTATTTCTGCTAAAAAATAAAAATTCAAATTTTGAGCAGGCGATTTCAATTCTCAAGAAATACTTCAACTTACCAAGTTTCTTGATTTCAAATTCTTTTGTTAGGCCCTTTTTAATATCAAGTTTTGTTTTCCATTATCTCCTGTTACAATAGTGTTATCAACTCATATTAGGCGAACTATAACTCCTCCTGTCTCTGAGTGTCTGGTGAATAGAATATATTCTCATTAAGCCTACTTAAATCCTATATCTATCATTACTCTTGGGAACCTACCAAAGCATATTCTTGGCATTTGCTTGAATCTATATAGGGTATTTTTTTAATTTACATATCTTATTTGATCTTATTTCTCTGTCAATGCCTGGTAGAATTTCTATCTAGATTTTTTTTTTCTAAATCTCCATGCAAGACGGCATTTCTTACATCAAATTGTTGTAGTTGTCAATAAAAGTGAACAACTAATGACAACAAGTGTTCATCTTGGCTACTTGTATGAATGTCTCCCTCCCTGGTTCATTAAGAAAACTAGAAACCTCCCTTTTCGATTCCGGCTCAAGGCTATCCACAGAGTATGGTTACAGCATCTATCCCACGTTCTTCCCCTCTGCCCCATCCCAAAAGAAATCTCTAAAACACTAAAGGATCCACTTCACCTCATCCTCCCTATGGTATATTGATGACCTAAACCCCCTCTTGTTCTCTAAGAATCTTATACCGTCATGCTCGAGCGCCCTACAATATCATATGATTTTCATTCAATGGCCAGAAATCTCTAGTTACCGAACATTGTTGTATTTCCATAACTCGTGCCACTGCTTCCACCTCGCACCCCTATTCAAATAGCATTCTCGCCCAGTACCACCTCCACTGTAACCCTAACCACTCAACTCCACTCACGACATAAGATAAAACGAAATGAATATTATTAGTTTTTGTCTCTAGAAGAATCAAATGTTACTTTACAATTCAAGTTTGTGATAACTTATTGACTGACACAAGATCAGTACACAATTTGGGAACATGTAATACATTTTTTAAGATAAGGATAGAAAGCTTAATGTTGCCCTTGCTTACAATAGTATTGAATGAACCATCTACAGTGGTTACAGTACTTCAAAGACAAAGAGCGTTACAATACTTTAAGTATATATCATGGCACTACTCTAACTGGAGACAATAAAAAAGAAAAATTGATACTAAAGTAATGTCTGACAAGAGAGCTCCAAATCAAGGAGCTGGGTTTGAAGTATTTTCTTCAAATTGAATTCATCAGCTCAAAATAAGAACGTCCTCGTGAGTTTAAATGTTGAGTCTAGCCTTAATTCATTATTTGAGACATTATCCTGTGAAAAATGAAAAAATGCAATAAATATCGAAATGCAAGCACTTGAACAAAATCAGACTAGGAAATGGTGAATCTACTTAAAGGAAAACAACCAACGGGATGCAAATGGGTGTTCCCTATAAAGTACAAAGTCGATGGCACCATAGAAAGATACAACAGCCAAATTGGTGACTAAGAATTATACACAGACATAAAATTGATTATTGGGAGACATTTTCACCTGTTACAAAAATGAATATGATCAAATTATTATTATCTTTGGCTGCCAACTATGATGGCAACAACAATAGTTTGATGTGAAGAATGTCTTTTTACATAAAGACTTATAGGAAAAAATTTACATATAGATTCCGCCGAGATTTAAAAACAATTTAGCAGCCAATAAAGTCTACAAATTTAAGAAGCATTATAAGAACTTTTGCAGCAACCAAGAACATGATTCGGAAGGTTTGCAAAAGTGATGCTTGCAATAGAATACAACCAGAGTCAAGGAGATCAAAGTTTGTTTATCAAGCACCGAAACTCAAAGAGAATTATCACTCTTCTAGTATATGTTGATGATATTATTATGACTAGGAATGATGAGGAAGAGAGGGTGACACTGAAGCAATGTCTAGTCAATGAATTTGAAATTAAAGAACTGGAGAAGTTAAAATACCCTCGGTATCAAGGTGGCCGCCCACTCAAAACAAAGAATCTTCATTTCTCAACAAAAATATATTAGCAATCTCCTAAACGATACAAGTAAGCTTGTATACAAACCTGCTAGCACATTGATTGATCCAAACACAAACTAAGATTGGCAAAGAAAGATATGACCATCAACAAGGAAATATATCAGATGCTAGTGAAGAGATTTATTTATCTATTCCAAATTAAACCAGACATTGCATATACAGTAAGTTTGATTAGTTAGTTTATGCATAATTCTAAAGAAGTACACTTCCAGACAGCATACCAAGTAATACAGCACTTGAAGGGAACACCAGAAAAGATGTTTTATTTAGGAATAAACACTTGACTATTACTAAAGGTATATACAGATGTAAACTATGTCAGGCCAATGATAGATATACGATTTATATCCATTAAAGGGTATTGTACATTACTTGAGGGAACTTGATCACTTAGAGAAGTACAAAACAGAATGTGACAACAGGATCTAATGCTGAATCAAAATTTAGAGCGATGGTCCAAGAGGTCTATGAGCTTCTACGATTGAAGTTGATTTTAGAAGATCTAAAATTAAGTGGGATGGCCAATGAAATTGTTCTATGACAAGAAGTAGGTGATCAGCATTGTCCATAGTCTGATACAACATGACCAGACAAATCATATTGAAATTGATAGGCATTTCATCAAAAAAAATTAGACAATGGTTTGATTTGCACACCCTACATACCTACCAGCTCGCAACTTGTGAAAACGTGCTCATTGAAGGTCTTAAGTAATCCTACTTTTCAATTGATTATAGCCAACCAGGGATGAATAATATTTATTCACCAGTTTGAGAAGTGCTAGAAGTAGTGTATGTGTAATTTAATATATAAGGATATAATAGGGAAATACAGTGAGTAATTCTTTTACGATTTCCTCTCTTATACTAAGAATCATGTATATCTAGGCCATTTACTCTCAATAATCTCTTCTCCAACAAAAAGGTTTTTAAAATGTGTTTGACGCAATACCCATTGACAACACACTTAAACCAGAGGAGTGCAAGAAGCGAGCAAGTACCAATGAGCTTTCGAGAAGCGAGAGAAAGCAATTGCGAGGTAATGATACTCCAAGTTACTCTGTTCCCGATCAAGTATCAAACAGCGAGGCTAAATCCATCAGACACAGTTCCTGGCTTAGGAAGAAATGGCACCAGAAGGTACCAAAAACTCGAAGGGTAACAGGCCTTACTGTTAAGGAATGATTCGGCATAAAAATCCCGACCCAAGATGAAAGCCCAAATATAGTATGGGTTTGGGTACCCGTGGGATACACATGTTGCTATGCACGTACAGGATACTTGGCCCATACATCCACCAGTGTTTCCCAGTCCTGTGGTAAGGCAATCAAGGTGACCTTATACTCCACAGGAAAACCAGAGACAGACAACCTTCTTGAAGCAGAGATCTGGAGGCCCACACGCAAGCAAGGAGAGCCACGCGTGCGCCGGACATCTGGCCCAGCCCACACGTTTCCTGAATGTGCACGAACCGCGCACACGAGCACCCGGAAGTGCCCACGCATGCGGTCATCTGGGCCCGCACGGAACCAACCGCGAACACGCAAGCCCAAGGGCCGAACATGCACATCCCGTGCGGACAGCCCAGCAAAACGGCCCAAGCCACTAGCCCACGTAACTGGCGCGGACCGGCCAGCCCGGCCCATCCAGGTAGCCCAACCAGCCAGCCCTCTCTCCCTTTGTTTTAAAATATTATTTAATATTTATTTTTATTTTAAAACCCTTTTAAAAAGGCTTGAGATTCACTTTTTAAAACCCTGTGTTAAAATTAATTTCTACATGTTTTTTAAATAAATTTCACATGGGATAAATATGAATTTTAAATTAAATATTATTTTAATGTAATTCTATTCTATAAGATTATTTAATTAATTTATTTGGGATAGAATAATTATCTTATTTTGTATTTATCCTAAATTAAAATAGAATTTTATGTAGATTAATATTTTATTAATTATCTCAAAATTTTTATACTCATCTAAATTGTCTGGGAAAGTGTATAAATAGATCTTTGCTCCTAAGATGTAAAGTACGCATTTGAGAATAAATTTGAGAGAATTCTTGAGATATTTGACTTTTTTATTTTTAACATTTTTACTAAAATTAGCTTCTTCAAGTTCTTCGGGAAGCAGGAGTTTTCAAAAATCTTATTGAGTTAAGAAACGGAGATCAGCTTATCGGTAAATCCGTGACATTTTTCCTTTCTTTATTTTATTTTCCTAATCTTTATTTTTGCTTTTCTTTTAAGATTGTCGATTCAATTAGAGGGAGGGGTTTTATTTTACGTGGTTATTGTTTCAATATTGTATACGTTGAGTAGGTTTCCAGAAGTAGATTCGATCCTCCCCATACCCTCCCCCGTCAGTGTTCTTGTAATTTCAAAAAACATCTTTATAAGAACAAGTTGCAAATTAATACTCAAAATTCATGAGATATGAAAGAGATAAAACTGGATATGATGATAACCATGACGATGATGAGACTATAAAGAGAAAAAAGAAAGAAGAAGAGTACCTCTGGGCTGATGAGAAACTAGGAGAGAACTAGCAGTGGAGCAAACGATTGCAGTGCTGATATTTGAATAAGATGTAAGGACAATGGCAACAGTGAAGCAAGGTGGCTTGAATAAGAAGAAGAAAATCGAGCAAATATGGGAAATCAAAGAGGCAAAAGGAGTCAAGGGCAAAGCAACAGGTTTGTGAAGTGGGTGAACTTTTCAATTTTCAATCGCTAAAGTATATATACTTTTTATTTTAATTAAAATCTTAAAACATATAATATTTTATTATATACAATAATGGGTTAGGTTCGAACGGCTTTTTTCACCACCAAACCTGAACCCCCCTACCCTAATTAGACAAATAAAAAACCTGAATCGAATTACACCAATTTGGTTAAAATCCACTACAATTTTGAATAGATTGGGACGAACCTTCCAAGCTACAGGTTTTCTTGCCACCCTTGTACAAGACCAGACATTACATATGTCTTGAATATGATTAGCTAATTTATGCTTAATACGAGTGCGGCTCACTTTCATGCAATATATGGGATACTATATGATCTAAAAGCTAATCCTGGCAAGGAAACTTTAATTAGTCCTTGAAACATATCTAGTACAGATTATGCAAGCTCGTTAATAGGTGATCCACTACAAATTGTTGTACTTTCCTTGAAGATAATCTTGTGACTGGAGGAGTTTAAAAACAAAACGTGGTCACTAGATTAAGGATAAAGGCGAAATTCAACTTGAAGGCATAGGGTATGAATTATCTTTTTTAAGAATAGCATAGATCTGAATTATTAAAACTCAAGATAATTTTACAAGATCTAAAGACCAAATGAGAAGAGCCAATAAAATTATTTTGCGATAAAAATTCTACTATCAACAGTGCTAACAAAAGTCTACTATTAACATTGCCGATAATCCTATGCAACTAACAGAACAAAGCACATTGAACTAGATAAACATTTCATAAAGAAAAAGTTGGATGATGATTTGATTTTCCCCATACATCTCAACTAATGGTGACACTTACAAATGCGCTAACATCAGGCCTCACTAGTGCAACATTCCAATAAATTATCTCCAAGTGGGAAATCAAACATGCATACTCACCAATAAATTATGCAATATTGATTAGGGAATCCCATTGGCATGGAGACTAATTTCCTATTTTTTCTTTTTGTAATAGCTATATATACCCACATATATATAATAAGCTCATTCTCAATACATAAGAAATTTGGTTCCCCTCTAAATTCCACAAAACAATTAGTTAATAAGCTACACTATTGACAAATTACTTCTAAACTCACCAGTCTTTCTGTGAAGAATCCAATCAGGCTATGCATAGTAGCACTGTCCAGTGGCTTTGATACCAGATGTCTAAGCAGTTCCCCAAGAAGAAGGATACCTGAAGAAAGATTCCATGCTCCAAAAGTTTCACACTTACTGTTTTTAGGTTTTATAAAAAAGAAAGAAAGGAGATATGCTCAATACATTAATTAAATTCTTTTATGGCTTATGCAACTTCAATACATTAAATTAAATCCTTGTAATGCTTATGTGAAATATCATTATAAAGATTAGAATCCAATATAGTGTATCTGCTTGGGAACCACTGCATAGAAGTGATTTTCTCATTAATATTCAAAAACCAGATTCAAACCAGTTTTCAGTTATCCCACAAAGAAACAACATTTATATAGAGATTGGCAGAAGTTACCTCTTGCACGAATAACGTTATCTGTAGTAGTTAAGTACATTTCCATCTCTGTAACCTATAGACCAGGGGAAATGAATGTAAGAAACAGAATCCAAGAGACAACCAAAAATTTGGCAGCAGGATAAAAGAAAATACATGCTTACACACAGAAGAACAAGCGGAGAAAAAAAGGTCTACAAGTATGATGGTAAGTCATACCAGTGTTTCTAATGTTAGTACGTCTTTTCTCACAAGAGAAGCAATTGCATCTAAACTTGCAGCCTGTTGAATTACAAATACAAACAGTACATCCAAATTAATCCTGGCACATAAGTATATAAATTAACCTTGTATAGAATCATAAAACACTGAGCTGATAGTTTTGAACGAAAATCACCGGCTTTGGTACATCCAAGAACGAACCAGAACCCCAAAATCCAGAGCTTAATGGTTAATACCCGTTAAGAACACTGAATTAAACTAAATAATAGTCTCATGTTTGATTAATTAAAGAATTGTTTTTCTCTTTATTGGTGAATAACTGCATTATTCAGTTCGGAACTGTGTTTTTCTTTTTAATATTTGCTTGTAACAAATTAAGCTAATTTGTTATATTTTGTTTACTGGAAGATGAAAAAGAGAACCTGTTGAGTTGTCGATCGAGAAGCGTCAATGAATGCTTCTATGTGCTGAGTCAGCTGTATCGTTTCCGCCATTGTATTAGAATTGAGAAGTTTCTAGGGTTTTAGCGCGAAGGGGGAGAGAGTGAGAGAGATTGTTTAGGGTAAAAGTACTAACTATAACAAAGTGAAGCTACAGAGAAAAAGAAAACAGTGAGGGTTTACGGAAGGTGACACTTGAAAGCCAGGGTCTCCGCGATGGAAGTGTTTAGGGAATATTTTGGAGCTTCCAGAAAAATAGTATTTGGTAATTTGAAGTAAAACGAAGGCAGAGTTTAATCTCTAAACTTTTGAGAAATCTTTTTTCTAAACTAGATTAAAGTGAGGCAGAGTTTTTAACTTATGTTTAGTTTAAATTTTTTTAATTTTTAAATTTAATTATTAAAAATAAATATTAATCACAATTTATGATGTACAATTTAATCAGCATTCTCATATTTTTATTCTATGTTAAATAATAAATCACAAAAATATTTAGGTGTGTTTAGCTGCAGCTTCTACGTTTAGGAAGCACTTTGTATTCAAATAAGCAAAATCAAAAGCCTCTTGTGTTTAAGTCAAAGGTAAAATGTATTTTTGATACGCATCAATACAAAAATTAAAATACTAACTTTAAAGAATGGTTTCTACTTCAGCAACGTTTTTAATATTTTCTCTAATTATATTAAAAAATTACATATTTTCATTTCTTATACTTT